GCAGGAATTGCCAGAGTTGAACCTGTCCGCCGCCCCCGACCGCCCCGGAACCGCCGGCTCCAGCTGTCGATCCAATCAGCGAGCAGGTCCGTTGGAGGAGGCTGAACCTCTCTGCGAACAGCAAAGCGGAAAACACGCATGCACCGACCCGACCCCGTGCGCGACACGTCCTCGAGGTCGATTCGATTCACAAGGAGCGATGGTCGCGGCTAGGAACAGGGACCGAACGCGAGGGCTCGTTCAACGAACACTGGAAGACGTGTACAGGTAGAGCTTCATTTGAGCTGGTTTTGGTTTATTGAAAGTGGTGTAAATCCAACTTTTGCAGAGAATGAGTTGAAGGTGGTTTTAGCTACCGGAGCTCAGGTCGATTTATAATTTTTAACACGACATGAAAAGAAAAAAACTTATCCGGTGTCTATGAAAGAAATGTTGATATATTAATTCTATAATAAGAAGAAATCGTACAAGAAAATGATCGTTTTGAAAAGGATAACATTTTCTTTATATGTGTACATATTTTTCTCCAAAAAAATCTGAGTGCGTGAAAAGCAAAAAGGTTTAGGAAACGATTCAGTGAATGACATATTATTGAATACCGTTGTAAAGGATCGCAGCTGCCGAAGGGTGTGCCTGCTGAAGATGCAGCGGATGCGTTTGAATCCTCCACATTACGTGACGGACGATTTCGTAAGCTTATTCTTTCACCGTATGGCCAACGGTGGTTGACAGACTCATTGTCAGTCTCTTTATGATCATTGTACACGTGTACGGTATCATAATTGACAGTAATATTTATTTCACACCCGAATCTTTGCAGTTTCGAATGGTATCAGTTATCATTTTTTAACTACACAGTGTATTATTCTTCAAAAGAACAGAACCCTTATTAATTAAAGTAATTTACCATACATTATTAATCGAGTAGTCATTACAAAAAGAATCAATTTTCAAAAACAAGATTAGATACCAAATAGAGGTTTCTTCAAATTAAAGTAAAGTACTAATTATTTTTATGTAATGTTTGTCAGAAATTTAAGCCTTTGTAAGAACGAGTCTGTGACCTTGATTCTTAAACAAATAAAATTCAGCCTTCTAGATTTCAAACAGATACAATAAGTTCTCTGTTCAATATAAATACCCTAAATCTTAATTCAAATTAAGATTGTCCAACCTAACCTAACACATATTTTCGTGATTAGATACAAAAAACCGCACTGTAGCAGTTTCAATGTTCTGTTTAATTATATAGAAAAAATTGCTTACGTTATACACAGTTATTATTAAAACCAAATTGAACATTCACACTGGAAATAGTGTTCGTTATTTAAATACTCAAACACAGCTGGAATATTATCTGCTCGATCTTGCATAGATCTCCGATCGAACACAGGGTGCAAATATGATCACGGTAAACAAAACGAAAAATCCACATCACATAATAAACATTTCGTATACGCACAAAGGTAGACACAAGCTTTGATCACAAGTCCCGATAAAACGTGGATACGCTCTGAATAAAACGTACTGGTCGGTGGACAGAGAGTAACTGAGCGACCTTTGCCCCCGGTGATTTTAGCCCTTATCGCCCCCTCCCTCCTCCTCCTTACCACACTCCAACCCCCCCGTGGACGGAATACCTTTACACCTCAATACGGTATGCGACTGTACCTCCTGCTTCACCCACTCCCATTGCCACGAGGGCCAATGCCAGCTTACGCAAGTCAGCCATCAAGTTTATTCAATTTTTAGGGTGCTCCCACTTTCGTTCTTTTTGTCCGTTTTCGTAGCCTTGAAGCAGCTTGTATACATATACGGTGCCCCCTAATACAATATTTTATGAAGAATCTCAATTTTTAGCTGTTCTCTTTAATAATTTTTAAGTAATTTTAACTGTGTCATGTTAATTTGTTTTCACACGTCTAGTTATGTCCTTATGGTAACATTAAAATTTTCAGAACCCTATACCCCAGTGAACTTCGATTCCAAGCTGTCTGCAAATTGTATATGCAAAAAGGCGATACGAAAAAATCTTACTTAACAATGCTTCCTCCTTTTTCTATCTTTTCTTCTGGCAGTCCTGACTTAACAACTGGTTCCATTGTGCAAAAAATTCCCTCAAAACAAAACCTACAGAAAATAACACTCCAGACTAGAATAAACCCCCTTAAGCAGCCGGCAGCGTTGATCCACGGTAAAGTGTGCGCACGGTGTGGATGCATCGCACGGCGCGTCCTCGTGAGCTCCTCCTCCGCGCTCGGCAAGAAAGCGGCAACGGCACGGGAAAGTTCGGCACCGGTTGACGCGTAAAATTATCCCGTATACGGCGGAGATTCGGGGAGGGGGACGTTTCGCGCTCATCAAGAAAACAATATAGCCGCGCCCCGTGGCGAGCTTACCACCCCCGGCCCGTTAGAGTTCCCCCTCCTCGCCCCCCACACCCGCCCCCACGCTTCCCCCCGCCCCTCGCCACGCCGGCGGGTGGTTAGGGGGAGGGGCGGGGAGCCGGTTGCTGGCGCGGCCGTAACCCCTGATGCCACCACCTCTCCGCCCCCTAAACACTCGATGGTTTATTCATGAGGGCTCTCTCACCGCGATAACACTGATTCGTTTAATAAACGGCCGCCTGCCGCTTGCCGCCACGCGGAGTGTGCCCCCAAGAGCACCTACAACGTTATTCAAACGGACAATATATCTCCGAGGCTTACGCTGCCAAGACTACCGTTCCTCCGTTGCCTTTCGCCGCGACGAAAAGGCGGATCTCGCTCTTTTCCTCTTCACGCGAACGGAGACACAGGCATCCGGGAGGAATAACTTTTGCCCCCGCGCCTCTCGCCCCTCGACGACGAAACTTCGTGGTCACATTGTTCCGAGGACCTACCGTTAACCTTCCCGCGGCCTTTCTGTCCCCCGTTTTTATATTTAATATTTTCTTTTTTTTTTGTGTTCGTGATAGAGGTGTCGCCTTTGGGTATTACGCAGAGCTGGAAAGAATGTCCGGCGGAGGGAACGCGAAAGCAATTGCGGGTTCGATTATAAGTTTGCGTTAACATCCACCGTCTACTATTTGGGTTGTGGTAGTAATATTGTTGAAAAGTTTTGTAAGTGGTGTCAAAAACACGCGTAACCTTTGTAAGGTTAGTATTCTTGAGATGGAAGTGCAAGTGACTTTTTTATCTACTATCTTCCAAAGGATTGATTTTAGGATACATACTCATCTTGATTAAATATTTTTTACTCCTCTTGATGAATACTGTGAACCTCTGAAGTATTGGACCCCTTTTTTTCAACATCCTGTACTTAGTTCAACGTTATTCGGCGTTTGATATTTTGTAATTAATTCCCGTTAGACGAAATAACGCAAAGACCGTATCCACTGGAAGTGTACAAACGATCAACATCCCTCTTTCGTGAAATCAATCGTCAAGCGGGGGGTAAATACGAACGAAGGAAGGGGACATGAGACTATTATCGTTCGGGACATTTATTTTTCTGCCGGACCGTTCTTATCTCTAATAGATCGCGCCATCGTTAAAGCCTTAGATAAGGTCTGAGTAGCCGCGCGAGTGGACCAAAAGCAGCCCTTGGGAACGGTTAGCCTCTTCCGGTCATTTTCAATCCGAACCTAGACCCCTATTAACCTCTTCTAAGCCCCACCCTGGACCGTGTGTCATTTGGATTTACTGCGGGAATCACACTGGTAATGCTTACGTTGACATTTTGGTGAAGTGAAATATAAATGATTCCATTATTATACATATACAGGGTGTCTGTGTTAACTGAATCCGGTGAGGAATATCTCGTGAGGAACTTAACGTATCGAGAAAATTTTGTTATATAAGAAACGGTAACAACAAGTACATAATTTTTGTAAGAACATTTTTTTTTATACTTTCAGTTCCTTAGGAAATATTTCGTTTGGTCTGGTTAAAACAGACACCTTGTAGAGTGTGTATAAGAAAAAGGATATCATCAGATAAAATGAAGTAAATACAATTGTATCAACATGTGGCCGAAAATTCATATTTAATGAGGTACAACATAAAACTAGTGACGTGGCACTTGTCTCTTCGACGAACTAGACTTTGAGCAGGACAAGATGGCAGCCATCTTGACAAAAGCATAAACACTGATACTGAAAATATGAATTTTCCACGCTGTTGGTTTCACAATTTTTTACACTATTCTACCTTTTCTACCATCTTGGACCGAGATGCCCTACTATATTGTAGAATATAGTTGACTTTTAACTAGAAAATGACAAATATCAACAAAAAAACAGACGAAGGAAAATATAATTTTCAGTTTAAACAGTTGAAACTATTTTACACCACGATTTAACACAAATCGATCAGGTTTTAATAAATTCAACTCGATCAAGTTTAAGAAGAATATATTTCTCCTTTATTTATTGCTGCGGTCGATGATTGACTTTAGTTGGACGAACGATCTATGATCAAATCGCTGAATCTTTCCGCCATGGCAATCAAAACGGAATTCGGATTACCGGAAATGGGCGAGGGTAACACACTGGCGTCCATTATTCGGAGTCCACTAACGCCCTTCACACTGCAATGAAAATATTATTAACCAGCTATTAATAAATGTAATTTCCGTCTTTTCAACGACTTCTTGGCATACTTTTTACCAACCGATCGATCATAGTCTTTAAACATTCGCTGTCGATATTTAATATTCACAGAGTTCCCGATATTTGTGATTAAAATCAAACATTTTAAATAGCCTGTACAGCATTTACACCTTTGTTGTATTTATAAAGTATACAATGCCTCATGCGCATTTTATCAGCGTTCATTCTTGGAACCAAAAGTATCAACCACTCGCCCTAAATTCTAAAAACTGACCATCGTACTATACCGATGCGCGTGAAAAAATACAATTTGGCTAAAGTGGTGTAAATAAAAGACAAACGTGCAAAACTTCGCATTCTATAAAAAATTTTATAGAATGTTTATATTGTACCGTAATTCTTCATCGACAACTGCATTCTCGTCGTCTCCCATTCTGCAGGAGCCGCACGCATGATAACTAGTTAGCCCTCCGACTCTCATCACGCACTCAGAGTACTCGATTTCACGATAATCCTGCGGCAGGTGTCGACATTCCTCTAAATCTGGATGATGAACCTTCGCGCCGTACTCCCGGAACTTCTTCGATTCCAGGGTTTGTATTGCGAAATTTATGGCTGTGAAATAGGTACGCGTTTCACTCAGAAAACGGTAAAAATATCGTTATGAGTATTAACCCTTAAATAAGAGTTGGGAAAATTGTATTCGTATAATACATAGTGAGAAGTAGCAGTATCTAAGGGAGTCATCCTGAACGTTTAATGAGATTAGAGGGCGTGTCTGTCCACGAATAGACTCTCACAAAAAAAAGAGCAAGACCAAAGTGGTCATTGGCCAACAATCGAAGATTCAGAAATGTCTAAATTATATACCCACATGCAATTGGTTTTATGCATATAAATACGAAAAGTATGGAATTGCATTATATATGAACAGAAATAATAATTGTTTCAGAAATTTTCACGAAAATTAGCTTGCGATTTACTTATACCCTCTATATATGTTATAGTTATTTTGCAACAAATGCTTTTTTCAAATAAAATAATATACAAAGAAAGAAGGATTTTTTTTATAAATCAACGATTTATAAATGTTTTATTAATCACTTGGAATAGAGTTTCTCACACGTGATAGCTACTTATCTGGCTAAAAGTGAATTACACGTGTCCCACTCGTGGTCTGACCTTTTCGCTTTGATAACGGTTTCACGTACATACTTCTTGTGATTATCAGCTGCCATTGAACTTTAGGATTATTTTACTTGTAACTATCCCATCTTAGAATAATATCGCGCCAAATAAATGATTTTGAAGGTACATAATATATCGTGTAGCGATATATTATTCTACCCATTATGAAACGACTAAGATCTTCAGTGATTCAAGAAATCGAGAATGACAATGGCGCTGTGTTTCCTTGTATGTCTCTGCTTAATTTAAAGATTTTCTTTGGTTAATTACTGAAAAATTCAATCGACGCTAATGGTCTGCGACGTAGTCGATTAAATTCCAACCCAAGTGGTTAAAGCCTTGGGGGGGGGGGGAGAGTTTTTTTACCATCGTGTGTGCACGCGACGTCGTCGTAGTGTTGCAGGTAGGCAGGATCGATTCTTGGCTGGTGACGAATATTCCTGGATCTTAATGAAATGCTACCACGACTTTTCGGTTGCAAACAGTACGTCAAGTACAGGAAACCCTCTTGCGAGTTGTTGTTGTAGGACGGATAGAGTGACCTGTATGGCTGCAGATTTATTTACGTTTTATGTTTTACTTGAAGATTACTAAATTCAAGAAATCCAATTTTCTTCATTTTTGAAACGAATGAAATTTTAGTAATTCATATCAGATTCGTAAATAATGAGTAGACAGCACAGTGTTTTGCGGAATCGTAATAAACGATTTTTAGCCCAAATATGCTCGCTATCTTACTATAAAGATATCTAATAGGTGCTTGTATTGTTTTTCGAGGTGCACAGTTGAATGATTGGTGGCAACATTTACTAAAAATAACTAAAAAGCTCGCTAAAAAGTGAGATAGTTCCTCATAAAATATTGTAAAGAATATTAAGTACAATAACATCATGAGAAAAAATATACCGTTACGGACCTAGTTCCTGATCGGTATATTATATGTATAGATACCATAATAGGGTTAATACACTTCAATGCATTTGATCAAATTCGAGCCAAAGTTAATAGAATTTTCTTATCTCTGATTACTACACAACAATGTTCACCTCAGTCTTATAGTTGGACATCGATTTCAATATTCTCTCTTCGGTGGAACCCATTCCAAAAAGCATTACACCGCTGTTATTCGTGCGACCGATTCCCATTAGCCCGTTGGTCGCATACCATCCTTAATTTAACAAGAAAATCGTTAAAAATAACCCAAGAGATAAAGAACAACCTAGATATTAAGCAACTTTTTACTCGCCTCTTCCGAAAACGAAATAGTTCACCACTTCGGGAAGCGTTTGTAGCTTGAACAGAGTTATGCTGATCTGAGCCTCGAGATTCACGTAGACCGGTAGCAAAAGATGATCGAAGAAATTCTTCCCTACCGCCGGAAGATTTCTTATTACCGGTATCTGAAGGTTATTTCTCGCGTTCAGGAAAAAATTCATCAAAAACACTTGCTTTCGAGAAGAAAAAAAATTCATCGACGCGTTACTTGAAATTTGTCGAGATCCTTCGCTTGTCCGATTCCTGAGAGCAAGAGCAATTGAGGCGTATTGATGGCGCCAGCGCAAAGAATCACTTCTTTCTTAGCACCAATTCTACCCACCGATCCGTCTTTGTAAATCACCTTAACGCCGTTCGTTTTCGTCCCGTCCTTGAAAAGTATCTGGAAATTTTCATAATTCGAATATCTCAATTATTTTGTATATGTTAATATCTCAATAAAATATATTCTAAAAATTACATGAATTAACATAAGGACGCATTAATGTACGGGTGACTAAATACACGTGTATTTAAGTGTACGTGAAATAGTAAAAATATGTTCAGAATAAAATGTTGAAAATAAAAAATCATACTTTCGAGACCAACGTGTTCGTCAAGATGTGCAGTTTCCTTCTGTTCCATGCGTGCTGCAAGTACGCGTGAAACGTGGTCCACCGTGAACCACGTCTGGCCGTGTACATCCCTTTCTGCAGGGTCACGTGACCGACGTTCAACGATTCCTTGGACATAAGGAAAGCTTCGGTCAGGAACTCCTCTTCCGGGCTGGACATTACGTTCATGATGTCGGTCACCTTCTTGAAATACGGAAGTAAATCGGTGTGGGACCAACCCCTGGGCCATCTCTCGTAATCCTCCGGTCTACCGTACGAGTGGACCAAATGATTCATCTGGCCGCTACCGCCCAATCCCTTGCCCCTCGGTACTTTTTGTATCTGCAGAAATTTACAACACAAATCACGTTTCGATACATAGCAAACCGCTGGCTGGACATTTAAGGAACTGGGGATATCGATTTGAGAAGATACCGAAGATATAAACGTATAAAGTGATGCCCGTAAATTCACAGTTCGCGTTCGAAGGTCGAACAAAGTTTGCATACTGTGATACTTAAACGTGGAATGATTGTCAGAGGTATTCACCTATTTAGTCGATATATTATTTATGAACACTTTTTGTACATTTACTTTATATCGACAAGGTAAATACAGTGGGTGATTAAATTATTATTTGATTTGATTGATTCCATTTTTTGTGTATTTTTAATGGACAATTGTCAATTAAACCTTTAACGCCCAGAACCTAGAAATATGATTTTCTATATGTGACGTATAATCACACTGCGCGTTAAAGGGTTTAAAATGATCTCGTGTAAAAACACTGATTTTTGATTTTGTTTCTACACGAACACACAATGAACATATTGTTCGTACTATGATTCTAATAATTCGATCATCCACTGTACACGTCGTTTATGATGGAAGATTTACAAAAAAAAAAAATATGGCGGCAGCGAACTAAAATATTGTCTGTTAATTTCACGATCGATATTCTTTTACATGATTCCAAAAGCCTTTCGAGGAGAATTTCTGCGGTTCCGTTGAGTAGCTCCAGTCGAATTCGGTTCCCTGCGTCATGGGTGACAATAGTGGCACAGACGACACCCATCCGAAATATCCGCCCGCCTCGATCAACAACACCGTTCGGTTCGATTCCTCGGAGAGACGCGAGGCCACCACACATCCGGCCGTCCCAGCACCAACTTCGCAAGTGAAACACACATTTCCGAATAATTACCTTTCGTGCTTGGAAAATTTGACTCGGATAAAGGAAGAAGGAGAGGGTCACATAGAGTACGATGCTTTAATTTCTAAGTCAGCATACTTAATTACATGTGTCTGCAACATTTTATGTTATACGTTATTTGCGATTAGCTAATCAGAAAAGTAAGAACATTCCACTGGATAGAATGATTGGAAAATAGCATGCGCTGGAACGTACGCTTTCGAAACAATATATTGGTCACGAACATGTTAATTAAAGGTTATTAAGGGTTCATTTATTGAGAATAATTTCTTAGACACGAATGAGTAATTTTTCAAGTCCAGAATTTCCTACGAGACATAAATTGTTTCATTTGATTATTTATCCAGTCTATTAGAAATGATTGAAATATCAAACTACATAGTAGCTGGTGATACCTAGCATAGCATTAGTACATAATATGCTAAGCGTACTCTAAGTTTGTCTGTCCAGTGTGTACGCAACACGGCAAAATGTCTGTCAGACATTGCATCAGCTAACGATGTTTGGAAATCCGATTTGCCGCATCGTTGCGGGTCATGGCACACGCTCAAATCCGTTTCGATCTGGCCGACAGTCGGCTTAAAGGATTAAACGAAATTCGTCGTCTCGACGTGACGCACAAACTCGCACGGTAATCTTACTGACCGACCGTGTCGGTCTGAACTGTACGCACTTCTTCTACTTACCGATTATGTAATCGTAATGTGTGTGTGGTTGCTCGATCACGCTGGCCGGTTTGTTAAAGTAGCAATGATAAAGCAACGAGAGCAGCAATACAAGGGCCGAGAACAGCATATAATTCCACATCGCGTCGGGAGAGCGGAGCGTCCGCGTTCGGTATCGATAATAGAACGACTGAGGAGAAGTGACACGGTCAGGGTGCACAGTAATTCCAATATTAAATTAGCATTTCCGCTCGAAATCGATAGCCCTTCACAATAAAACGAAGGTCTGTAACAATAGCGATTGGATGGTAATGAGAGGTAATGTATCATTCGGTGAGGTGGACTGACTGATGATAAACATTCTTCGTGTACCGATATGTTTGATTTTGTTATCAATTGAGAATATATTGTTTCGACAATATATAAATATTAAAAGACAATACAGCATTTGGTTGTCGTAATTGTTGGATCGTGAAACAGTTTTCGAAGGAGTGGGAAGGAGGAGGGTGAGGAAGGAGGACAACTGCATTGTATGATGTACTTTTTTCTGATAGTCCTCTAGGGGTTGTTTTTTTGTACCACTTTGAAGATATAAAATAGACCTAACATCCGATGTAATTTTCTGTCACAAACTTCGGGGGTTCTAGAGCCCCCTCACAATTTTAGCACCGACTAGGTATAAAATAGACCTATCATTACAGACAAGATATAAGAATAGACCTAACATGCAATGTAATTTTCTGTCCCATGCTTCGGGGGCGCCAGCAGCCCCTTTACCCCTTACTGTAACAGAAATCGGTATCCTGTGAGAAAAATCGTATTTAACGATATGAAATGAATAATAAATAACGGTCTTAGGAATTTATACTGAAGAGCTAAATCTTTAAAAGGAACATGTCACTTAAACAAATTAGTTAAAAATGATATTTATTTGGGGAATATGAACATCATAAATAAACGAGAGTGGTAGAGCGAGCCACGGTACCGGTGCTCTCCGGCGGTGCCGACGCGTGCCGAAAGGTGCCGGAGATGGCCGGAGCTGTCGAACGGGAGCGAGCGAGAGCTGTAGAGCGAGCCGCGGTATCGGTGCTCTCCGTCGGTGTTGACGCGTGCCGAGGAATTTCGGTGGTCTATGGGAGGGAGGTGTGCGAGCGAGAGAGTACGGTAGAGCGTGCCGAGTATCGGTGCTCTCCGTCGATCCAACGCGCTAGTGAGTTGCGTCACCCAGTTTATTGACTTA